GAAGGTCTTCTCTCAACTCTATTTATAGGCTCTATCCTCCTGAATTAGTAAGAAAACAGTAACACTGTCACAAAAGCAAAAGGAGCAAAAGCATGAAATTTTGTGGTCAAAAGAAGTAAAACATAATAAATTATATTGCTAATTTATTATATTTACATTGTTAATCCCTAAATCTTTCGCAACCGCAATCAACATACACATTGTAATGGTATAATGTCGGCATTATGTTAGTACACGACCTCATTCAATATTTTATCCGGCGTGTACTCAAAGGAACAAAAGTCCGTAAATAATATTAATTGTGAAACAGGCCCGGAAAGCAATTCCGCAGTAGAAGGAAACAATAATAATTAATTCAAGCGCGGCCGTACCCCTACTGCTACTGAGAAAGGACGGAGGTAAATTAAACATCAAAACTCGACGTAATCGGGCTCGTTCGAGGCGTAAACCGGGAATGGAGGTGACGGACAATGGGAATGACTGCATGACGAAGGCATCCGAGAAATGATGAGAATGCATGTGTGTGTCGCAGACCCTTAAAATACCTGTTTTATTGCCCAAAAGGGTCGCCGTTTCACGTTCTTTTGGCCAGAGAGACACTCGAATTGAAAAGTTTTGCGGAAACGTAATGAAAGAGAGGTGGAGTTCAAATTGAAGCGAATAAAAGTTTTCGAACGATTTTGATGTTTATTTAGTTAAAGACCAGACCATTTTATTAGGGGACCATTGATCTTCTCTATAATGTTGAAAGGATCTTTAAATTGCCACTTTAAACTCTATTTTTATTAACTTGTTGTTTCAAGAATCTCATCCTTGTTGTTTTATTTTGCCTGATCAGAAAAAAAAAGCTCAGTAATCGTTATATCCAGAGTCTCTCGGTGTTGGATGATAAAAATGCACGACGAAGGCATCCCAAAATTGGATAAAATGTGTGTCGGCCCTTTGGAAATTCGTGCTTTATTGCTAAGGGTCGCAATTTCTGCCTTTTTTTGCAGAGGACCTTAAACGGAACGATGATGAGAAATACATAAGTAGATCATTTTATTCTAACGAAATTTTTTGTAAAAGAAATACTTAAAGATAACAACAGCTCACTTACTAATATAGAATTAATTGCTCAGTATTCAAATATTTAGTTTGATTAGGGCTACGAGTTTAATATTTTATTATTTCTAGGCCCTAAATTATATGCGAAATGAAGGATTAACAGCATAATAACCAAATCCATATTTGACTACGAAAGCTTTAGGTAAGCCAAAGCTTAGCGGAAAGGTATAGATGAAATAGCTAGAACATGAACTAATGAGTTAAATTGAATTCAATAGATACCCATTAATTTAATCAAATAGTTAATTTATTTGATTCTAATTTCCCAATGTGGCTGCACTATACATATAGGCAGTGGCGGTTCCTCCATAAGAGCACATGTGCACGTGCACTCCCAAATTAATATCAAACAACTTTAAATTTAATTTTATCATTCTTCAAATTTTAACAATCTACCTGTAAAGTATTAATTTAAAAAATTAGTGGCCAAATGCGCCAGCAAAACAAACGCAACCGGCATTTATTATGAATTACAAATTATGTGCACCCCCAATATGTTATACCACGAGCCGCCACTGCATATAGGTAAGCTCACATGGCATTCTATTATCGAATTAGTTTCAGGATGAGTTGAATATGCTTTTAGGGCCCTTATTTATATTTCATTATTTTAAATCAAGAATTTGTTCATGAATTTAAAATATGTATATCACATACGATTTCTTTTGTTGGTTCACATACGGGCTTTTTGCTGTGTAAGCGATTTATCTTCATTCGAAAATAAAAGCTTTTGCATTGTTTTAATGTATTTTGAATAATGCCATTTTTCAACAATATCAGGTTTTATTACACATCTATTCAGCATATATTTAACAAAAAACGTTTATTCAAATAATACTTCAATTAGTCAAAACTTAATTACAAGTACGTCCTAAGTTGGAACAACAAAAATCATTTTCCCCATAAACAAAGAAGCTCCGGAGTAAATACAGAACATTTTTACGTTCCGCACAGTCAGGAAGTGTGTTTTTACACCTTAATTGCATAATTTGCCGGCTGAGTCCCGAATAAAAATGCACTAATGGGAAATGCGAAAAAAATTAGCTTCATAAGCCTCACAGGTTGGATTTGCTAACATGGAAAGTATTTCAGCACTAGGCTGGAACAGATTAAGAGTTTAAGTAGGTAAACTGGGCTGTTTGTTTTCCGAGCTTAAATCGTTATTGCTAAAAGTTTGTTAGTTTGCTAGGTTAATTCAAATTTTAATTAACCAATTTTGACCTCAGCTGTTCCCGACTGGCAAGAAGAGAAAGCTTCAATCGCGGAATAGTAAAACCGAAATAAACTGGTTTTCGAAATGTTAGCCAATTTTATCGCACTTCGGTGCAAATTGCTCCGAGAGATTTGCGAGCCTTCCAGAATTCTGTATAAATCTCTTAAGTCAATTCAAAAGTTTTTTAATATCCGCTCGAACTTAATTTTATTATATTAGCCGGGAAACGATGGGCGAATTCGGCGATGAGAATTAGCTCTTTTTGGCAAGCTGAATGAGGAATGTCTGTCGATATGTGTATTAAATATTTTAATAAATAATTCTGGCTTTCTTGCTATACTCGGCTCCTGCTCATCAGATTTCTCATTGAGATTTTAAACTCTTTGTATTTCCTAACTCTCCAATCAACCAAAAATTTCGATATTCAAATCTTGGTTATCATATTACAGCGAAGAATGTTTAAGGTTTCTTCATATCAAATATGGTATGAGGATGTGCGAAGTGGCTTCTGTTGTTGGTTGGTTTCAGTCTCATAGATTCAGCTGCAAGTGTTGCCATCTACGAGAGATTGACAAAATTGGCAATTTTGGAAAGTAGAAGCTTGGAAATAGGTCTTGAGGGAAGTCACTATTCACTAGTGGTGTAATACTTGACTCATTCGAAAAATTTTACACAATATCCTAATATACGATAGGTCACAGAAAAACTGCATTGTTATTATCCTCATAATCGTATTTTTTTTTTTTTTTAACTTAATTCCGAATCCCATTTGGTTGAATAAAATAGAATTATCTCCCAACTTGTTCGTTGTTCCCCGGGGAAGAATTATTATGATACAGCCACGGCTGATAAACCCGCGTAGCAACTTCCCGAAACAAATATCCACTTGCGCCCGGAGGTTGCTAAGTGCCCGAGTAATTTCTGGAAAACTAAAGCGGTCCGACATGCAAGAAATATTTAGCGAAAGGATGGTTTATCGGGACGGTACATTTTTAACAATCCCCGGACGGAAAGCAGGAAGAAAACAACCGCTCTCCTGCAAATGGAACGGGAAAGCGGCCAAATTTTTGTTAAGAATACTCCCTTAAAACGCTTCCGTTATACTTGCGTTTGGTTGTTTTTTTTTTTTTCTTCTGGACTTGTATACTTGAATATCCGGTGCTTATATTTATTTATTTGAAATACCAGGGACGTGTAATGATTAGAGTCGTTATAGTTTTTCACTAAAATTATTAGTGGCTCGAAATGATATTTTCAACGCCTCAAAATTCATAAATGATCCTCCGCCTGATTTGAAAAGACATTATTGCAAATCTTTTATAAAGAAGTCCGCATCGAACGTTGGTGCATAATCGAGGTGGCAGTAGAGAGGATCGACAGAAATAGGAACATAACAATGTGCGAGCAATCTTTTATCAGCGCCACAATAGATGTCGCCCGAAAACTAGGTTGGTCCTTAAAATTTACACCGTTGCTACGAAATCCTCCGAAGGAATTAATTATCCTGGCAAAGTCCTGAACCAGACACTTCGCCGTATTCAGGCCTGGATGACACATTACCACTTGGCTTTTCGAGTTTAGTAGGTTTAATAAGCTTTTCGCGAATTTATTTATCGGGATTAGCAGCTGCGCTATTGTTGCAAACTTTCCAATTTAAAATTTTTGTAGCGTGTGTTGTTGAAACTATCACATTACTCAGAACGATAGGTGCGCAAAATATCTATGAGATGAGGATAATATTATCGAGAAAGGAAGGATATATTATTGCTTTGAAGGGGGTCAGCTCCTTTCAACCCCAACTTCTGTAGGTGTTTCTTAAGTCTGCAATGTCCCGAGTGAAACACGGTTAGAGTCAGGCGTCACAGCCAATTAAGAGCGGTAGTTTGCTCCTGTTGCAGTAGATACTCGACTAGTCTCTGAACTTCTTCTGGTGGTGCTTGCCTATCTCCAGCGAAGTAACCTGATGCCAGTACTGGGTCGCGGTGGCCGGTGGGGTTGGTTGGTGATAAGTTTTACCCGAACTGTGACCAAGTATTGCATCGTAAATTCTGAAAGATATAAATGATTAATGTTGTCTCTCAGGAGAATGCATGCTCTAGGCTCGTTACACCGACTGTCCCAGATTAATTCTGCCCCTTTACTTGGTAGACCTTTGATCTGCCCCTTCTATATCCAAGGTACTTGGATCAATACTGCCCCCAAGTGTGCCGATGTGAACAACCGCGCTATGTTGTAGAGTTCCCATGCACTCACAAGAGTACTGTCGCACAGCAATCATAAACGAGTCAGAGCAAATTTCATTGGTTGAAAACAGTCAGAAGACTAGTTTCAACCAATGAAATTCACTGTAACTGGTTTGTAATTGCTTTTCTATCGTATCTTTTGGCAGATGTGAGAGGCTCTACATGATATTGGGTACTGATTGCTGTGACAATGGAAGGAACTTTACTTGAGAAAATAGAGAATTTGTATTGGACAATTACTTGTTCTATTTTCGCGAGCGATCTTGATGACAGTGAAGGTGTCTTTACATTCAATTCCAGTTGATTGAAATTTGATGGGAATTGAATGTAAACATGCTTTCACGGTTGTCAGGTGTCACGGCGCTGACAACTGTCATTCTTATTTGTCGCCCAGAATTCTTCATTTCCAAAAAAATATTTTTCAAAATTTGTTGAAAATGGATACCTACGAAAGCGTTTTACTAGTAAAACCAGAAGTCTACGTGTTCAATATTCCTCCCAGATATTCCAATAGAGGTTATCGTGCCGCAGATTGGAATTCAACTGAGCCCAATTGGACTAGAAGGATGAAGCTCATATCCAAAGGCAACGAATTGTCTATCAAACTCGAAGACGAAAACTCTAGAGAACTCTTTGCCAAGTCTCCAATCGACGCATATCCGGGGCGTGCCATTGAATTAGTTACTGATTCGTCGAGATATTTTGTTTGAAGGATTATGGATGATAATGGTAGGACAGCTTATATAGGCATTGGATTTGGTGATAGATCTGACTCTTTTGATTTGAATGTAGCGATTCAAGAGCATTTTAAATGGATGAGAAAAGAAAAACAAATAAGAGAAGAGCCCACCAGTGGTCCCACTTAAAATCTTGGATTGAAGGGTTTCACCTCCATTCAGGATCGAAATGAAAATAATGACGAAAAAAGATAGCTTCGAATCGAAAGCCAAAGCAGGAGGCTTGCAACTTTTGCTACCACCGCCAAATGGAAAATTGCCTTCACCATCATGGAGTGAGTTTGCATTAGCACCTCCTCCTCAAACCAGGCCCAAAACTAATTGGGTGCAGTTTTAGTTCAACTCATTTGAATTGTGATATTTGTTTAGAAGGTAGAAGCAGATATAAAATATGCAGAACTAAGATGGTTAAGATGTTAGCTGTGTAGAAATTCAATGAAGATGATTAGGTATGGTAAACTTTGGAGTTTTACTGAGACGATAACGTCCTGTTCGATCAGACACTTTTCCATTTGTCTAACAAATAGAATTTACAATATTGGTCTTCATAGTCGCCTCGACTGTTTGATCTCACTACTTGCGACTATTTCCTTAGTTGCAATTTTGTCATATAGATAATATGGAAATGGCAAAAGCGAACTGGAAAAACTCAAGTGACTCTTCTGGCTTTGATATCTGAAAAATCCTTCCAAATTCGTTTATACATATACCTACTCCATTTCCGATTTTATCGTGCGTTATTTTATTCATTCGAAGAGTCTTTGTTCCAAACATATATTTAATGTATCCTCTTTTGTCTCGAAACAATCCTATTTGAGAGCTGACTTTTTTTTGTGTGTATAATCGTCCTTGTTTACTTCCACATCATGTGGTGCGACTTCGATAAATAAAATCGTTTGATATGAATCTGTGATGTTTTTCGGCAATGTTACTGGAATTCTGTACTTATTGAAGGGGTGATTAGATGTGGTTGTATTAAAATATCATGTTCAATTCAGTCATTACATAAGCACAAGCCAAGAGATGACGAATAACAAGAAGAGGAAGGCTCCTTTTTGGAAGTTTGTACAGAAGACAAATCGAACGCAAGTCATTTGCAAAATGCACCTCCATTCAGCCATTTAACAATAATTAATCGAAATCCCTAATCCTATTATCACAACATAATGTATATTTAAAACCCGATTAATTGTTACAAGAGACAGCCACATAAAAACAACCGCCGTTCCTGCAGGATAATAAACGAGCGAGGTAATCCAGACATAAGCCAGTCGCAGGACTTTGTCTGACAAGCAGCAACTCCTAAGGGCCAAAGGCAATTTATCAGCGCCCAAAGGACACGTTTTGGTTGCAGTAGCTCTTTTTTTTACATATCGGTGCTAGTGCACCTGGGATTGAACGATTAATAAATTATTTAGTACCTATTACTATTAGGAAAAGTTATTAGCAAGCGAAAGGATGAAGGAGATAACATGGTTATAATCTAATCGTACTCGACTTCCCCCTTTATTTCTGAATTAATGGGAACTTATAGATTCGGCCCGAATTGGCGTTAGTTACACAAACTCGTATTGCCAAGGGAATTGTCCCAATTTTAATCGACGATTTGAATCACTAATGTAATAATTGGGGATGAAATGTTATAGTTCCAGTATTATATTAATCGAATTTTAAATATGTAGGTTGAAAATCATATTGCATATTGCAGTAGGTACCCTTTTCATTTCACCCTACAAAAGTCATCAATACAAGTTTAATGCAATTCAAACTTTACTGAAAAGCACAAGGGGTGCGGTGGCTTCGTGACTCCAAGCTCAAACTTCGGAATTAATAAATTGGTTGTATTGAAAGGCTACATGGGTATTGTAATAGTTTCAGACAATCGATTTTAATTGAAATTAATAAATCAGGTATTTTTTTTTTCAGTTTGAATAATTTTGTATCGTCTCATTTTTGTTGTGAGCGATCATTGAGTTTGCAACCCCAAAAAGGCTTTAGACTAGTGTTTATCCACAAGGTTTTTCATAATCCAGTTGGATATGATGTGCTGTTGCTACCTTATTGCGGTGTTGCTAGAATTAATAATAATGATGCATTTTATAATGGGAATATCTTCTGGTTTCGTTTTGTTAAGCAGCCTAGTTAGTTTAATCTTCCACTTCAATCGTTTGGATGGGAAATCTATGCCCGAAAGAATTTGCTCAACACAACTTGAATAGTAAAAAAAGAATTCTTGTAAATTTAAATAGTCTTCTACTTTCAGATCCTTGAACTTCATCTTGTACTGTAAAATTTATTTCTTAGTCAATGAAAAGTAGTCTTCTGGAAATTTTGAGCCAAACATAGAAGTATTTGTATAAGCCTCAAGACTGCACAGGCCCAGGAGGACAGGAAGTATTTGTTTAGGTATCTTTTTTTAGGTTAATTCCGCGAGTATAAGATATATTAATTTCTTTCATTGTGTGTTAGCGGATCGTATGAACTAAATTACGGTTAAATTTAGAAAATATTTATAGGTATAAATACTTTTACCGAAGAAGAGGGGGTGTGTAACGAAGATATATAATTTTCCGGGTATTTTAATGATTGCTACCGCAGTTCTAAGTTAATTACTTTGGCCGAATTAATTCTACATGATAATTAATTTAAATATTTTACGCGTGACCTTGTTTAAAACCGTACGATCCAATAGAACCGACCGCAGAACCTATCACGCATTCGTCCCGCATCGTAGTGTCTCGGATTTTCCCAATGCCGTTCCCACCTTTGACGCCCGACGACCGGTAATAAAAGGAGGCGCGCGGCCACAATTGGGGACTCATCTTCTGTTCACAGGTACCAGCAGCCCAGACCACCAGCACCTAGACCACTGACCACCGACCACCGAGGTAAGCCGCTGGCTTGAATTCCGCTCCGACGTCGTCAGCGCCGTCGCGACACCTCGGTAAATCGTACGATCTGGGTGAGTGGGACTACTTTTTATACAGTGATGTACACTGACTGAATGGGGTTACGGCCCTATTCTGTCTGTGACGGACAATGGGGGTTACGTGCTGGACCGTTTACAGGGTGGCACTTCACCCACATCGTTTCTTTCATGCACGATGCTCTTGCTATACAGGGAGATACACGGATTCAATGGGGTTACGTGCTGGACCGTTTACAGGGTGGCTCTCTCTGTCCTTATGCCTTTGTATACTAAACGACGTCACGCACCCCGCACAGATCGCCTAAAAAAGGCCAAATCACCAGCACTGACGGTTGAAGGAGCTGAATTACCAGAGAGTGGACCTGCAGAACTTTTCACCCCCGCATATCGTTACCGTCCCGCGTAACCCTCCTGTATAAGCTTTCGCGTTAGCCACCGCATAACCTTAAAAGCACGCTAGTATTCGTTTACACACTCACCTAGCTACCTAGTGCACGTGGGCCCTTAACCACTATAATCCTAAGGATGGTGCCCGAGTTTTCCGAAAACCCCTTAACCGTCCGGAAAACCAAAGTAGCGCTACACACCTCAATCCTCTACGCCTATACTAAAATCTGTGGGATTCTAGGATGAGTTCACTTTTACTGATTTTCAATGTCCCACTGCATATTTCAATCAATTTTCAATACTGATGAATACATTAATATATCTTGTAACTTATTCTTTTGTAAGCTATATTTTTATGAGAACAAACCTTTTAAAACCAAAGAGTTTATTCCAGCTTCTGTTTATGACTGTTTCGAAATTTATGATCCAGCTGAAGCAGATTAATTCTGCGGCCCGGACTTTTTTCTCTAATATTTCACCCCGGTTCCTATCGAGTCGTGAATACACAATGGCGTGTTGTATACACGACTTATGACAGACAGACAATGACTGATTGCGGCAAAGCGCCCGATGCACATCGATAAAAAATAAAATAAAAATAGGCAAATAAATCGAACGCCACTGTGGATGCGGTTTTTCGTTGTTGAATGACGAAAAATTTATTTCGTGCATGTTCCTTGCTAATAAAAGTTAATAGAGTTAAACTAGTTCAATTATACAGTGTAGGTTTTGTTTAAGGGTGCGCCCTGCAGTCGACCTCAATTTGGAAGTTTAATTAGTTTGGTACGTTTTGTTCAGAGTTCAAATGTGACGACAACTTCAGATGTCCCTAACTGTTATATTACCACATAATGAAGGAATACAAATGAAAACGATTATTGTGATAGTTCATTGGTATTTGGACTTGAATAAATGTGCAAAACTCAAACCAAATGGCAGCAACGATATGCAAATAGGGTTTCGCCACAATTTTATCTTTCGTTATGATACAGACACGATTCCACTGGGCACTTTCGCGAGTATTTTGAATTTTGTAGAAATATGTTCTAAAAATTTAAATACAGATCAGAGTTGATTAATTTACTTGTCACTATATCCTAGTAAAATACAAAAAGGGTTTATATTTTAACGTCAGGCCGACATTGTCGTGATAAACGGGCTACACGTCCTGCGAATTTTATTATACTTATTAAGATCTTTATTAGGAACCGTGTTTGTGAGAGCTCGTTTAATTTTAGCGAAACGTGGCGCTAGTTTCCGTGAAAATATGAAACAATAGAACTAGCTCAATCAAAAAGGAATTAATGAAAGATCATTATTATGCTGTTCTAATAGGGGTTAAGAATAGACTATTTTTAGATTCATGTCGTTTTACTGAAACCATATTCACATCCTATTGTCCTAGATTATGGCCGGTGCGGTGAGCTCTTAAATATTGCACGAACCATAAACTGGTGTTGTCCCTAAGCCCAACTAATTGAGTATTAATGGAGTCTTATAGAGGTGCGTTGAGCCCTGAAATTATTTATGTACTCTATTGTAGTTGGCGGACCTTTGCGGTTGATCTTTTCCTAATGTTACCGGAAAGTTATTGAATTATGTGGAGAGACGTGTTCAAGCTCACACCATGAGTCACAGTTTGATTTCATTTATTTGT